AATTTGTTGTTGTTGTTGTTTTTTTTTTATTGATACAGGATCTTACTCTATAGATCTAGCTGGCCTGATACTCAACATGTAGCCCGGGCTGGCTTAAAGTCATGGCCATCCCATGACTTTAGCCTCTTAAGTGCTAGGGTTGCAAGTGTGCAGCACAATGCATGGCTAAAGACCCTGCCTCTTAGTATTCCCACCAGGGGAATTAAGTTTCAACATAAATTTGGAAGAGGATACATTTAATTCTTAGTGTCTGGTCCAAAGCAAGCCCAAAAAGCCTGTCTTGGCTCAGCTCAAACTGAAGGAGAGATAAAAGCTCACCTGCAGCATTCCTTAGGGCCCCAGGAAATGGGTTTCTGTCTGCCAGAAAGGACCATTTCCCTTGGCTATACCTGTAATTACATATCAAAGCCTATGGTCAGCCTCTGGACAATTCTGGTCACTATTCAAGTACACTTGTAATGCATTTCAAAGCCCACCCTAGCCTCCTGGCTCTTCTCTTTTATTCTAAACTCCCAGGCAGCTCCAGCTCACAGGCTTTCCTTTCCCCACCTACACATCCTTCTTACAACCTGAATGGTTTTCCCATCCCCTACTTATCTGGTCCTGGTTATGTCCAATCTGCTTCTTTTTCTATCTGCTCTATCCAAATGTCCTAATGTCTCTGGCTGTTCTTTCTCTTGTTCTGTCTCCTGTTCTGTCTCCTGTTCTCTCTCTCCTGTTCTCTCTCTCCTGTTCTCTCTCTCCTGTTCTCTCTCTCCTGTTCTCTCTCTCTCTCTCTCTCTCTCTCTCTCTCTCTCTCTTTCTCTCTCTCTCTCCTTTCTTCCCCCTAACCATTGAGTTGCCAGTTCAGTGATTTCTTTACTGCACCCAGGAATAGGGTTTTGACTTTTGAAACCTCTTTGCTAGGCACAGGGGTGCTGCTTGCAATCTTAGTACTTAGGAAGCAGAGGAAGGAGGATTGACAGATCAAGTATAGCCTGAGCTACACAGGGAGGCCCTATCTCAAAACCAAAACCTATTTATTTCTCCCCCTGGTCTTCTGTTAGAGGGCACAGACCTGGATGAAAAGGTAATGCATGTAGCTGGAGGTGGATTTAAGGGAGATATGTTAATAGAATAGTTGTTTCCACTTTCCAATGTAACACATAACCTCTAATATCTTATAACTGAGCAGTTTCTGAACATGTTCTCTAGAAACATATGGGTTAGGGTTTTCTGCTTACAACTGGCTTGTTGTGAAAAGTCAAGGGAGTCCCTAAAGCACTTAAGGCCAGAAACTGATAGTTTCACCATGGCCAGAAGTTTCACCAGGGCCAGATGAATTCCTTGATACCACAAAGAAATTTCTGTAGATGGTGATTGCCAGGGGCATTAATAGGAGGGCAGAGAAGAAAGCACAGCAGGGCTGGGCCCAGTTACACTCGCCTGTTGCTACAGTAGCTGCACAAACTGACTTTGAAGACAGCCTTTCCTCTGCATCTCTTCTTGATTAGTACTCAGAGCTTGATGGCCCTCATTTTCTAAAGTGGTACTACTTTGATTTATCAGCTTTTGTCATTTTGTCATTTTGGTTTTTTGTCACTCTCCAAGTGTGTGTGTGTGTGTGTTTCCCTACTGTGAACTCAGAGCTAATCGACTGCATTTTCTGTTTCTTTGATTTTCTCAAAGTTGAAACTACTACATCATGTTGTCTAAAGTCCTGACAAGGTGTTAGGTCACATGTGCATGCCCAGAAATAACCTAAACCAAAATGTGTAACATAATGGCTTCAGGCAAATACAACAGATTGTAAAACCCTGAGCCTCTTAGGGGCTGGACTAGGGACTCATCTCAAAAGTGGGATATCTCTAGCTACTAGGACTTTGAGTCTTCTCTGAAGTGATCATGACAGTTGACAGGTATCAGTTGATGATCTTAATGCAGAACCAGGAATTAAAAAGGGAACAAGATAGGCTAGGGCACAGGAACTCAGGAGGCTGAGTTCAAGGCTGTCTGAGCTCTAGGTAAACCCAAATAAACTTAGTGTCCTACTTAGGTTTCTGTTGCTGGGATAAAGACCATCATTAAAAGCAACCTGGGAAGGCAAGGGTGCATTTGGCTTACAGATTGCAATCCATAATTAGGGGAAGCCAAGGCAGACACTCAGGGATGGCACTCGAAGGCAGGAGCTGACTGAGAGGCCATGGAGGAGTGTTGTTTCTTGGCCTGCTTAATTGGCTCTCTTGTACATCCTAGGATCATCTGACCAGGGATGGCATCTTCTACAGTGGGCTGGACTGTTACTTATCAATCAAGAAAAATATCCCACAGACTTGTCAGTTTAATGAGACATTTACTCAGTTGAGGCTCCTGTACCCAAATGACTCTAGCTTATGTCAAGCAGACAAATAAAACAAAACAAAACAAACCTCTAACCAGGACACTTAGTGAGACCCTTTCTCAAAGTAAAAAGTAAGAAGAGAGCTAAGAATTTAGCTCAGTATATGAGCTCTTGCCTAGCATGTGTGAGGTCCTGGGTTCAAGCCCTAGTGTTGAAAGAAAGGAAGGAGTGAGGGAAAGAAGGAAGGAGGGATGGAAGAAAAAAAGATGGTGTGGGAAAACCCAACTAAAACTGTAAGTTACTACACAGGCTATTCTGGCACCTAAGAGAGGTGTCCCTCCCTATTGCTCAGTGCCTCTTAGGACTCAGACTAGATCCCGATGCATCTGTCCCTTCTAGCTGAGCCTGTTTTGGCTTTGTCACCTAGAGCCTCAGGCATTCATCTGAACAGTACAGTGGGCACCTTTCTCATTTTGATGGCTGATGAGATAACCTATGTAAAACGTTCAGCCCATTGTAGCCCTTCCTCTTAGCATGACTGGGTAAGCTGTGAGAATGTGAAGAGAAACCCTTCAGACATCAGAAGACCAACACAGGGTCCGCTACCCATCTCAGCAGGGTCAGAGGCAAGGCAAAGAATGCTACTCACTTTAAAGTGAATGTCTAATTTCACCCTCTCCAAAGTGGGCCACGCACTCGGGAACTTTCTCATTTCAGTATTTGACTTAAGTCTTACCTCACTGAGATTTCTTTAGCTTTGAGGCTATTCAGTAATCCCTCCTCTTTCCCACTATAGATAAAAACATTCGAAACAGAAGGCTTTGAATGCTTTGCAATTGGCTCACCAAGGTGAGTGGTGCAGAGCTGTGCCGTGCACTGAAGAGAGGGAGTGAGCCATGGTAGAAGCAGGCATGAGATTACTGCAGCTAGGTGAAGCCAAAGGCAGGGAGGGCTGGCCAGCGCAGTTATCTAGAAAGGAAACTTTCTGATGTTCTGTTCCTTTACAGTAGGCAAAACTACCCTACAGCCTGGGGTTTACTTCTGGTCAAACAATCCTCTTCTACGTCTCTGAAGATGTCACAACACCAGCTTAAAAGGAGCCTTAGAGTACATAGCAACTGGGAACCTTGGAGGCAGAGGGGTTCGTGGGAAACTGGGACTGGAGGCTGTGGGTGCAGGAGTGCCTCTACCTTGGTCTCTGTGTTCCTCCCCATCCCTCAGATCTTCCTGGCAGCACGCGACAGCCACTGACACGGTCTATGGGATTCTATCCAGGACGTGTTGTAGGGCTTCTCCGTTTGGAGGCCTATCACCTCACCAGGTGGCAGTCTACCTGGCTTCCGGGTAATTTACAGTAGCTAATCGGTGCCTTGCAAGGGGGCAATTGGGGTCTTTTAGCTCTTCCTGAGCTTTGTTGCAACTTGGATATCACCTATTGTTCCGCGGGGGAATGTGAGCACCAGCAAAAAGCCAACCTGCGCCTCCTCAGCCCTCACCAGGACCTGGCATGAGGGAAATACATTTGTGGCAGGAATTCGGGAGCCCAGCTGGAGTTCTCTTTGCTTTCCTGTCCCTAGATGGGGGGGGGGGGGGGGCGGGGGCAAGTCTATATCCTGACTTGTGGGACTAAGAGCCATTCAGACAAAGGTTAACCTCTTAAGCGTTTTTGTCTCTCTTTAGATATATGGCAAAACCAGTCCATTCTCCCCAAATTAATCTGTGCTAAAAACTCTGCTTAGAACTCGGAGACCTGGAGATTCTTTACACTGGCAATTAGAAACTCCCGTAATTGGTTAGCCAATACCAAGTGGTCTGTCCTGAAAACTCATAGAGCAACACTAAAAGATACTAAAAGCAGTAAAACACACACCCACACACTCCTAAAAGAAAGTGCGAGGGCAGGGTGAGTGGGTATACATGGGGTAGGGAATTGAAAGGATGAAAGGGGGAAATGATGTAATTATATTTTAATTCAAATAACACAAACAGTCTAGGCCTAAAAATCAAGGGGAAGAAAAACAACTGAAGAAAAACAAACAAGAAAACCCGAGTTTCAGTACCATAACGTACTAGAAAACTTTAAGCAGAGAGGGCTATGCATGTTCTTGAATTGCAATTTTAGTAAGAAGCAAAACAAAACTCAAGGGAATGTGTGTTCCATGTATTTCTAGCTCTGGGAACCACTCTCTCCCTGAGGTGTAGGGCCAGACTGCTTTTTACACTTTTCTCAGGTGTAAAGGAAAACATCTCTTTGCCAGTCGGACGGCTGCGGGTCCCATTCACGAAGCACAAGACGTGGCCGCAGAACAAGGACAGAGGACCCCTGATCAACAGGGAAGCCCGGGTGCCAGGCGCGGCCAGCGCAGAAGGTGCGCGCGCAGGTGCAAGCACCGCCCTGGGCGGGGCTAGCGGTGATGAGAGGCGGGGCGAACTGCGGGGTCCAGCGGGTGCTGGAGAGCAAAGGAAGTACCAGGGGAGGAGAAGGGAGTAGGAAAGGGTAAAAGAGGAGCTGGAGCGGGAGGCTTGTGGAGAGGCAGGGAAGGAGTGAGACTGCGGGAAGAAGCCCGGAGGAAGGTGTGTGGGAGGAGCGGTGGGGAGGAGCGGCCCGGTGTGGGGAGGAGTCTGCAAACTTTCAGTTCAAGGGCATTGTGGGAAGTAGCCATGGTCTGAGGCTGGCGCCTCACCTGTCAGCCGCCCGGGCTGCTACAGTCTCTTCTGGCCCTCGCATCCCGGGCGATCGCCTCTGTCGGGACCTGGGCGGCTGCGGCCACCATGGTGAGTGAGTAGGGCTGAGCATCGTGGTAGAGCTGGTTCGAGCGGTGCGCACTCCAGGTGACACCTGCGGCTCCAGGGCCGGACACACGGCTGGGGAAGGGGTACGCGGCGAGCCTGTCTCCGGGTACCGCCGAGTCACATGAGCGGGTGGCCCGGCTGCTCCGGACAGTGCAGGACTCCCCCTTCCTGCTAGTCCCACGGACACTAGGCACCGCGCTTCATTCATTTCAGTCTCTTCGCTGATCACTTGGCCCCAGCCAGGTGCTGGGGATGTCGTGGGGTGCTTAACACCGGTAGGAGAGGATGCCTAGGGAAAGCGATGGTGATGGAATGTTGAAATAAAAATAACTTCCCAGAGTGAGGAGTACTCCTAAGCCTCAAGAAACCTGGCTGAGAGGCAACTTTTGATTTAGTGGCCTTTTGGAGGAAGTAACATTTGAGCTCCTCGAGGTCCTGGGAGAGCGCACAGTCGTGAAGGGGAGAAACAAACCCCGGTTTGTGACTGGAGAGGCGGGAGGGATACCAGCTAGCAGTTCTTCATAAGGTAAAGTTTTGGTTTTTGTTTCTCTCGAATTTTAACATGAAAAGTGATCTTATCGATTCTACACTTCATGAACCCCTTGACTGATGGTGAAGAATGGACTGCGATGTGTGGGGTGGGGTGCTCTATCCACATGAAAGTCCGGAGACCCGCTACACTCAGAAGTGGTTATCCAGCTCTGGATGGAAGCAATACCTGAGGTTTCTCTCGCACTGGCTTTCCGCTGGGACAGTGACTGGGTGGGCAGCTTGTCCCACTTCCCCAGTTGTGCACAGTTCCCAAGTGCTCAGAGAAGTGACCTTCTGAAGGCACTTTTTGGACGTAGGAAGAAGGTTGAGTTGGAAAGTAATTTATTGCTGAGGAACCTGGACAGAGAGGCCAGAGGATGTCGGCGAGGTTCTCAGCGTGTCCATTTTTGCTTGTTGAGGGTTTTGGTAAATGCAGGGTGGTGCAAAAAGGCCCCTATAAATAATGGAGCCACTCTCTTGGCTTGCTCAAGTTTCCCAAGGAACAAGGTGACAGTGTACCCAGGAAGACAGCTCATTTGCCTAATGGAGGTGGAATGAGGGCCCCCAAGTTTCTGTGGAGCCCAAACCTGTTTCTGTAGGCACGGACAGGATTTGAGGGAAAGATCCTGAGTTCTAAACAGCACACCGTGGGAGGTTTTCTCCTCCCGAGTCAAATGACCTTCAGAAATCTGGGAAGTTTCTTCAGCTTTCCCTCCAGTCCCTGCCTCCTGTGTGTGTGTGCCTTGGCCTTGTCAGGGAATACTGTTACTAGCACTTCTGGTAAGCCAGTTCCTTCCCTCCATGATCTCATGCCACCCTTGCAAGCCCCAAACCAGGTGGTCACCTTTACCTGTCACTGCTTGACCTCCCTCTGTCTGGGTTTGTCCATTGGTTTAGTGGAATAGCCACTGTTCCTAACTGATACTGACAGGTGTACATTTGTGGCCTGGAAGGTTGGAAGGGTCCCAAAGGGTTTCTTAGAGGTTCACAAGATCAAAGCCATTTTCATAAGGATGGTAAGGTCCTACTGTGTCCTTTTAATCTGCATTCTCAAGACTGTATTGACGTTTCCTTGAGTCCAAGTGTTCTGAAATATTAACAGCCCAACAAATCTAGCTGTCTTCTACTGGGCCAGATTAGAGGAATTCGCCAAACTCCAATGTGATGCTTCACATCACTAATGTTCTCTCTCCTTCCCTCACCCCTCTTTATTATTTTCAATTGAGTTAGTAAATACCTGAAGTTTATTCTGTTCTGTTTTGTTTTCTAATGCAGTAAGTATCAATGGCTTAGTAAACAGAAAACTCTTTGACTTTCTCATTGTCATGGAGATGCCCCAGGACCATGAACAAGCACACACACAAGTGTTTTAAGGAACTCCACCCTTGTCTGTGCTCAGCAGCATTTCATCTCTCCTGCTCTGCTGTCAGGAGAAAAAAAAAAAAGGATCTGGTTCTATTGCTCACAAGCCTAGTAAGCCCTTGCTTCTGACAGCCAGTGACTCCTTCCTCATTCCTAGATCCTATCTCCTTCAGAGGATAATTTCAGAAAGTGTGCTTCATATTATGTGTGATATGAACTCCAGGCTGGTTAGGCCCTGTTTGCATCTTTTTTTTTTTTTTTTTTTTTTTTTGGTTTCTCTGTGTAGCCCTGGCTGTCCTGGAACTCACTCTGTAGACCAGGCTGGCCTCAAACTCAGAAATCCGCCTGCCTCTGCTTCCCAAGTGCTGGGATTAAAGGCGTGCGCCACCACTGCCCCGGTCCCCTGTTTGCATCTTGATCACGATGTTTGAATCATCTGTATCTTCATCTCTTGCCTTTGGTTAGAAATCTTGATTTTGGAAAACAATGCTAAGCCTTTTGTGCTTAAGAAAAACCCACCCCACCCGCTGTATTTTAAAAATATTATCAATAGGAATTTACTATTGACTGTTTGAAAGAGTTGACAGAGGAAGGAGGGTTTTTGGTTATTGTTGCTTTATTTTTCCTTATAATAACATGGGGACAACTAGAGAGAAACGTGAGAGGCCTTTGGGATGCCTTTAGTTTAAAAAAAAATGCAAGTGGGTTTTGATTTATGAAGTCCTTGTAAAAAGTTGCTCTTAAGTTTTCACGCCGCCTAGCGAGCATCATAGAGGAATCATCTCAGTTGAAGAAACCCAAAAGGAGGTCCCTTGGGAAATGTGACTAGTTCTGTTGTAAACTCAGTTCATAATGTTTGGTATGGTATGGTATGGTATGGAGTCAGATAGATTTATATTAATAGTTCAGAGGTTCCTGGGCTTGTAACTTCCTTTCTACTATTTTTGGGGGACAAAGTTTCACTCTGTAATGGTATTTAGTTTGAAACTTGGTGTGTAGACCACAGAGTTTGGCTTCTTATCTCCACTGATTCTCTTGGCCCTGCCTCCTAACTGCTGGAATTCCAGATGTGAGCCACCACACCCAACCTGTGCTTGTGATTTAGAGAGCTTGCTGACTGAGTTGTGAAGCCATTTCTCTATTAGGCCAGCATTCCTTTGAAGCAGCGTGAGGGGACCCTTCTCCCAAATCCAATTATAAAAGAACTTGCCCCTGTTTGTGGAGGGTATGAAGGTGGAGCAAGCATTCTTGAAATTGTAGTTTCCTCTCCTCCACTCCCTCTTCTTGGTATAGCAATCATGGTCTGAGACTTAGATACACTGAAATAAGTCTGGTGATATTTTGTCGGTTTAAAATTCCAGCTCGGGGGAAACAGAATCCATTGGAATAATGAGTTCTTTGCTCCCTGTGGCTTGGTCTGGGCTGTTGGCCAGCAGTTAGTGTGGGGTAGGGGGTTTTGGAGAAGTAGGGAGAATGACCTTTAGTGGTCTCTAGTTGTCCCACGTAGTCTTCTCACATGTCATCATCACTACCACTGAGGCTATTGTTGACCCCTGACCCTGATGATGACTACTTCTTAGTCCCCATCACTTCTCCCTTTTGTGCTAAGTTTTGTCACCTGCTTTGTAAATTTTGCATGGTGTTTTACCAGCAGAACTAAATGGACAGAATCAGTTGGTGTGGCTTGTATTTGCCACCTTGGGTGGTCAGTGCCTGCTCTTTAGGGGCTCATGAATTACACCATCATGAGCTAGGGTATTACAGCAAAAATGGTACCCCTTTTACACACACACACACACACACAGACACACACACGCAGTCAAATTCCATTAAGAGTCCCTTGAGACTCACACTTCATGAGGTCCCCATGAGTCAATTTTCAGTTTTATCTTCTTGTCACCATAAGCCGAACTTCTTCCAGAGATCTGAGCCTTTCCCCAGTTGCTTTCTGCCTAGGTCTGATCCTTCTATCTCTCATAGAATTTTCCTTTCTGTATATCTTATTCTTCCCAGACACTTCTTCTCACAGAATTCCCTGTTCTTCACGAAATAATCTAGCCATTATCCAGAAAACTCCCTTTAAACAAATCCCAGCTCTGAGATCCTGTGACTTAAAAAGCGCGGACCTAGTAGATTGCAGGAAGTGCCTTTGAATCATGCTAGCAATCTACCCAACTATCAAGAGAGTTGTACTTAATGTAAAGCTTCGGGTAGCACTGTCAGTTAGAATTCAAACACTGCATGGTCTATGCCGTAGATGGTTCCTACTGTGAATGAAATGCCTTAGGAAGCTGGCCTGCAAAAAAAAAAAAAAAAAAAAGAACTGCCACTAAAGTCACTGGTCTGGAAGCTTCCTGACAGGTAGAGCTAGCTCCCAAAATTGCTCTCTCTAAATAGTTGCTAAGAACTGCCTTGGGGGAAAAAGATGGTCATTCATTAGTTATTCAGTGTAGTCAGGCATGGAGTTAAGGTACATTGAGGCAAGAAGAAGGACATAAAGAGGTCCTCACGTTATGACCTTGCTGGATCTTCTCACATAGTTTCTGCAGTGGAAATGACTGGTTTGTGTCAAAGTTCAGTAGTAGACTCTTCAAGGCTGTGGGAAACTTCCAAACTGAGTGTATAAGGGAGGAAGTAAACTGAGTTGAAAGCTGAGGTGCCTGTTTGCTTTGTGTGCTTATTCTTGTAGAGACTCTCAGTCTTTCTAATGCTGTGATTCTTTAATAAAGTTCTTCATGTTGGGGTGACTCCCAGCCATCAGATTATTTTCATTACTACCTCATAACTGTAAATTTGCTACTGTTACGGATTGTAATGTAAATATCTGCTATGCAAGGTATCTGATATGTGACCCTTGTGAAAGGGTCGTTCAACTCCTGCCCCCCCCCCAAAAAAAGGGCTTGTAACTCCAGGCTGAGAACTGCTCTTACAGAAGGTGGATGTCAAGGAGTGACCACGAGTCATCTTTGGCACAGTGTTTAGATTTGGAAGAAAATGTTTATATTAAACACATGCAAGAATGACAGTGAGGTCATGGCCGCTCCTAGGGTACGCTCCTAGGTAAGCTTGAGGAGAAGGTTTTTATTGTA